TCCGGAACCTGTGCTCCGCAACGGGAGAGGCCACAACAGTGAGAGGCCCGCGTACCGCCAAAACAAAACAAACCAAAAAAACTAGGATGCAGGGAAGCCGAGGACAGCGCAGCAGCTGGGCCTCAGGAATGGACTGGTCCCAGTCCATTTCTCATCCTGGAAGCTCATGTGGAGGTCCCATTCTCGTCTTTGTACCCTGAGCTTTCCTGTTCTTTGGAGTGGGAAATAGTGTCAGAGCCGGTTGGAACTTACTTGTTCCAGGCCAAGCCAGCCAAGAAGACATCTGAATGCCAGGGAAAGGGACTTGTTGGATTAGCTCATATTGGGTCTAGAGCCTGCCCTGGCATTAGTAAATGATGACAATCTGCAAGCACATTTCTGGGCAGTGTGAAAATGAACAGAAACCTCATTTAAGATGGAGTTGGGAGGACTGAAGGGAGAACTCAAAAGCTCTCCCTGTCAATTGCAGACTCAACAGAAAGAGACATACCTTTGCATCTCCAGCAGGAGGAGGGTTACTATTTTACTACCCAGCAGGAGGAGGAATTTCTTTTTGCCTGGCAACAGCCTAGCCAATAAGAGACTGTAGTAACTCAGCCAATGGAAAGCACTACACTTCAAACTCCCAGTTTTCTCCAATGGACTCTGTGTTTATAACGGCCCCTCCCAACTAACCTCTTTTCCTCTATAAAGGAACGTTCCTCTCCTTGTTCTCTGGACTTGCCTGTGGTTCACCATAGATTGCGTGTCCCAAATTGCAATTCCTTGCTGTTCCTGAATAAACCCGTTTTGCTGGTAAAATAACAGGCTGTTTTATTTTTTTTAGGTCTTCAGCTGTTACCTTGTGGGAGAGTTGGTGGGACCTGGGAGACCCTCCCCAGTAGAGATCTACTGGAATGAGTTTGGGTTGCAAGGCGGCCCGTGAGCCATGGCCACTGAGCCTGCGCGTCCGGAACCTGTGCTCCGCAACGGGAGAGGCCACAACAGTGAGAGGCCCGCGTACCGCCAAAACAAAACAAACCAAAAAAACTAGGATGCAGGGAAGCCGAGGACAGCGCAGCAGCTGGGCCTCAGGAATGGACTGGTCCCAGTCCATTTCTCATCCTGGAAGCTCATGTGGAGGTCCCATTCTCGTCTTTGTACCCTGAGCTTTCCTGTTCTTTGGAGTGGGAAATAGTGTCAGAGCCGGTTGGAACTTACTTGTTCCAGGCCAAGCCAGCCAAGAAGACATCTGAATGCCAGGGAAAGGGACTTGTTGGATTAGCTCATATTGGGTCTAGAGCCTGCCCTGGCATTAGTAAATGATGACAATCTGCAAGCACATTTCTGGGCAGTGTGAAAATGAACAGAAACCTCATTTAAGATGGAGTTGGGAGGACTGAAGGGAGAACTCAAAAGCTCTCCCTGTCAATTGCAGACTCAACAGAAAGAGACATACCTTTGCATCTCCAGCAGGAGGAGGGTTACTATTTTACTACCCAGCAGGAGGAGGAATTTCTTTTTGCCTGGCAACAGCCTAGCCAATAAGAGACTGTAGTAACTCAGCCAATGGAAAGCACTACACTTCAAACTCCCAGTTTTCTCCAATGGACTCTGTGTTTATAACGGCCCCTCCCAACTAACCTCTTTTCCTCTATAAAGGAACGTTCCTCTCCTTGTTCTCTGGACTTGCCTGTGGTTCACCATAGATTGCGTGTCCCAAATTGCAATTCCTTGCTGTTCCTGAATAAACCCGTTTTGCTGGTAAAATAACAGGCTGTTTTATTTTTTTTAGGTCTTCAGCTGTTACCTTGTGGGAGAGTTGGTGGGACCTGGGAGACCCTCCCCAGTAGAGATCTACTGGAATGAGTTTGGGTTGCAAGGCTGCCACATAGGATTTTCTGTATCCTTCCATGGACCATTGTTGCAATAGGGTGAGCTGCCAGGTGGTAGGTACACCTCTGGCTTCATTGTAGCACCCTTCTCATGTACTCAGCTTGATGGATTCCAACTGCAAATACCTGCAGCTCCCTGGGAGGGAGTGGCTCTCTACACAGGACTGATGGGAGTTGGTGGATAAGGCTCCCAGCTCCTGTCCCTGGCAGGGGAACAAATCTGGAGGGTCCAACACTGAACTCCCAAAGCTCCCTAGGAGGACTGAATCCTAGTTGCCCAGAGCCATGACCTGTTTGATTATGCATCTGGACTGGCTGCCTCCCCTCCCTCTCTTCCCACTCACCTATTGATGCTTTCTGGAATCACTGCACTGTTTTATACCCCCCAATCCTCGCCTCTGGGTCTGCTGCTGGGCACCCAACCCAAGACCCTGTAGTCTTAACAGCGAGAAGAGTGGTGAGGAAACTTTGAAAAATAAGAGCACACGCTTTTCCATTCAATTTTGCCCTTTTCTCTAAAAATAGAGCTCTTTATTTAAAACAGTTCAGGGTAGGCCCCAACAAACATTAGGAAATTATCTAAATATGACATAAACATAAAATAAAATTATAAATAACTACAAATATCTTAGAACAATATATAATCTCCTCACTACCCTAAAGAATGGGAATGTTGCTTTCACCCAGGCATCACCCGCTCTGCCCCTGACATCTTTGATGCGTGGCCCTGGAGTTTCCACTATGCAGTTCCTGGCTGCTGGGGACGTGAAAGGGCTTTGTAAACAGTTCAGTGCTGAGCACACCTGACAAATGATAATATTGAATAGCATGCTCTTTCCTAAAGCTGCCCACAGTTTTTTGTTTATGACTTAATGACCATAAAGGAGCTGGAGTTTAGAATTAATAGAAAGCTCAGCCTCTGTCAGAAGTTAAACTTTGAAAAAAATGCTTAAAACACACAAGGTTTCAGAACAGAGATAAAGCGCTTCCTTCACACAAGCCTAAGACAATAGTGAGGACAGCTTTTAGTTATTTGGAATTTACTTCCACGAAGCACCTCGGCTGGTTCCAGAAAGGACGCTGGGCTTGGTCTGGGTATTCTCCTAGGAACTGGCCGTGAGCCACGCCTTCCCCAGCTCCATGGTTCCAGTTTGTTCTTCCTCTTCTGTGCTCAATCACGGATGTAGACAAGCCTCATTGCAGGGAAACCCCTGCAGAAATGCATGTATGTGTGTGAGTCCCAGCAGTGGTGAAGGCCTCCTGCCAGCCTCGTGCCCCTTGGAAACCCTTGCCGAGACCTCGGTACTGTTTACATGGCCAAGGGGACGGGGGTTGGCCCAGCTGGCCAGAGACCGACAATCTCACCCTCAGAGACGTACACAGTTAAGTCAACATTTTAGCTTCCTCGTTTGAAACAAAAGACAGGTGTTCAACTTAAAAAGGGGTTTGCTAACGTTTTCTTTAGCAGTTGAAACTCCTAAGCACAATCTTATGTAGAGGGCCACTGGAGAAAATCAGGGCCCAGGGAGGCTGCTCCGGTTGCACTGTGGGGATCCTACAGCCCACGGCTCCCCCTGAGATTGAGATGCCTCCCGTGAAGCCCAAGGCCTTTTGGGAACACAGTTTGAGAACCCCTGGACCAGATGCCCTCGAGAAGCTTTTCCAGATCTTCCATTAATGTTCTACCCTTGCGTTGGCTTCAAAACAACACAGCCCCGTGGATAAAATGCTTATGAAGATGCTTTTTACACAAATGGAGGAACTTAAGTCCTGGCAGGTGAAATGGCAGAGCGAAGGATTGTTCTGATTCCTGTGGTCCCTGCAGGGCCACAAAACTGACAAAACCTTGGTCTAACGGGTGAAGATCCAGCTCTGCTCATCCATATACTGGTGGGTGTAGGTTAATAAAGCGGTTGTTTGGGAACATCCATCACTACCCTCAGGTAAGGACAGTCACCTGTTTCCAGAAGACAGTGGTTTCTCAAAACTGGAAGAGGAAATGGGACATCTTTACAACCACAATGGTCACCTAAAGGGTCTGAAGTGCTAAGATGGTGATCACAGGCCCAGGGATCCGACTCCCTGCTGGGTTGCTACCCCACCACCAATTAATCAGACCCCCTAGAAGGTGGGCCATTTGGTATTTTCTTTGCTGGGAAAAGGGAGAGGGACCCTTGGCTGGGCTCCAGCTTCTGAGAACTGTTTCCTGACCAGGAGGCAGGGGTCAGCGAGGGCAGGAGGCAGGAGAAAGACTTGAGGTGGGAACTCCAGTCACTCTGAGTTTAGGGTCACAGGTGGGAGATGCCCAGCGGTCCCCTCAGAGCCTGGGTGGATGGAGAATCCTACCAGCCACCACGTGGTGAGTGCCAATGGTGTGGCAGGCATCACACGTCTCTGTTGGAACCCTCACCGTGCCCCAGGTGGTAGCTGTAGAAAGGAGACCCGGGCACAGAGAAGGAAGGTATCTCCCCTAAGGCCACACAACTGGGAAATGGCAGAGCTGGGATTTGGACCCAGGCCTCTTTGAAAATGGAAACTCTGCAATGCCTGACTCAGAGACTGGGATTTGAAGGACCATGGCTTTCCGCTTCCTCTCCAACACCCTCAGCCAACTGGATTTTTCTTCACTCGGGCCCACCCTAGGGGACTCATAAATCAGGATGCCGAGCCTTGGGGAGGAGGGAGCCCAGCGGGTGCTGGAGAGAGGCGTGAGTCCTGCTACACTTGGTGTGCCTCCAGATTTCTTCCCTCCCCAAATCCAGATGGGCCCTTGTGCTGTCAGCCTTCAATGTCCCCTGTGACCTGACCTCGCCTGTTTCATGTTGTGCAGGGATGATTTTTCCAGCTGGCCTGTCATCCCAGGGACAGTGGGGTGGTCTGACACCCAACCAACCTCTGACCTCCGCCCATCCCTGTCTCCACCCCTCTTGGCTCTCGGCCCAAAGCTGGCAGGTCATAGGACGGGGTGGCTTCTGACCGCTCAACCTGGCGGACACCTCTAGCTGGGTTCCCCAGGCGCCGTTAAGAACCCTCTGCTGCCCCAGCGATGATGCTTCCAGGATTTCAAGTCTTGGTGGCATGCTGGGTCCCCAGAAAGCTCAGCAGCACCGGACTGGGAGGGACAGCTCACCTGGCCAAGTAGTGCCCCAGTGTCCTACCTCTGACCTCAATCCTCTGGAGGCTTTTAGCCCCACAGCTGCCGCCACTGCTGTCCTCACTTTCTGATTCCCCCCGACCCTCTTCCTCTTCCTCAGGGCTGCTGTCCCAGCAGAAGGTCAGTGTCTGAAGAGAAACTGGGGGCTCCCTGGGAACCAGAATCAGCCCTGGTGACGGTAAGCCCCAGCTGGCCCAGGAGGACGGGTTGTCTTCTGGGGGCTCTTCCAGGGAACTCGAGTCCTCGGAGAATTCGGGTGGTGGGACAGGCTTCTGGAGCTCCTTCCCACCCGGTCCTTGGCCTGGCCTCTTGGCCAAATAGCCAGATGATCCAGCCTCGTCCCAGGGGGAGGAGCCCGCAGTGCTGGCCCAGCTTCTGTCTGAAGAATAGCAAGCAGAGGAGCCTTCGACCTGGACCAGAGGAGTCCAAGGCCCTCCTGCCTCAGCATGCCCCGGGCTCTGGTGTTCCTGCCCCAGGAAGGGGGGTGGTTCCGTGTAGGGCTGGAAGCTGACACCATCGTCCGTGCTCTCCTCGTCGGCCTTCTCTTCCTCAGCACTGTCCTCTGATTCTGCCTGGACGGTGGCTGGGGCCCTGACTCTAGGGGTCAGCCTGACCCTTCTGGTCCATTCCTTTTGGGGACAGAGGATCAAGACATGCAGGCACTCTGGGCCACTGGGTTGAAAGGTTGCCCCGGGGTGTCTGTGTCCAGAGAGGTCCTGATTGGGGGAAGGGGGAGAACAGAAAATTCAGCCTTTCTGGAAGAGTGACTCCTAATTTGGGTTCCCCTGGAAATAGACTCTAAGGAGTTTCTTTGGGAAGTGATCCCAGGAAGTGTCAGCACGGCTTAGCAGCCGATAGCGGGGTGTTATCAGGCAAGTTACCCCGAGGGCAGCTGGAACTTAGCCCTGCCGGGGACACAGGCCTCAGAGCACCATCGGGTGAGGCATGGAGGGGTGGTGGCGGTGTGAATTCTCTGACGCATGCAGCTGGTGAGGTGCACGGGCAGAGTGGACACCAGAGGCCAGAGAAAGCCTCCAGGTTTCAGGTGCCAGCTGCAGGAGGTCGAGCTGGTAACTTACCACATAATGGGAAGGCAGAGGGATAGGGCAAGGTGCAGACCCATAGGGCAAGGTGCAACACAGAGGTTGTCCTTCAGTCAGTGGGAATTCCCTGCAGGTCCCATATCCAGGAATGTTGAAACACTCCCGTGTGGCAGGGACTCTCAGAATCCATCCTCAAAGCCCCCACCGGACCCGAGTGCCCACTGAGCCTCATATACCACAGCCTCACTTTCCAGGCCTTCATCTGAACAAGTCTGACCTCTCCAGGCTTCCCCTGTCCCAGCTGGCCCCAGGTTCTAAGCCAGCGAGCTGGCAGACCGGTGGGGAAATTCCAGCGTCTGCCTGGGCAAGACTGACCCTCGGTTAGATTGTGAATGAAGTGCTGGGACCCTTTTAAGATGTCCCCTTTAGGTGCCACCCTCCCGCCTCCCCTCTGGGCATCTCTCCTGAGGCATATTTGCTATTTTAATTTGGTGCCAAAGGAATGAATTACTAATGGTGAAAATTTAGACAGGAAGATAGATGTTTCGCAGTCTGGGCCATCTTGATATTCTAGCTGAACTAGCTCTAAGTCTAGCTCCACTTCCTTGCTCTTCGACAACCCTCCCTCTCTGTCGCACACCCCCAGATTTGCCATACCAGGGCCTGTGGCATCTTTGCCTGATGAGACCAGGGGTTCCCCCGGAAGCTCTTCCAGATCACAGGCCCTGTGGCAGCGACCAACAGCAGTGGCAGCAGAAGGGGTAGCAGTACCAGGAGTGCCCAGTTGGATCCTAGGAAGAAAAACATAATAACAACTAGAGAAGCAGGGGCTCCTGTCTATCAACGGCATCTGTGCTGTGGGCTTCACACACATTATCCTATTTAATCCTCATCAGAATAAACCCATCCTACAGGGTGTGGAAAGCAAGGTTCAGATAGGTTATGTAAGCTGCCCAAAGATACAGTGAGTGGGGTGGAGCTGGAATTTTAATCGAGGTGAGTCTGTCTCTAGACTTGTGCTCTTAACCACCATATTATGAAGATCCTAACGCCCAGGGGAAAAGTCCCCACTTCTGTACCACTTTGCACACACCTGGGGCCTCCAGGAAGAAGCAGGTGGGCTCAGAGAACTCGCTGTATTTAGGGTAGCCAAAGGTGTATATAGTTCTGGCGCTGAGGCAGTGGTGTCCGCTGGTGTCTGGTTGGAGAGAAATCTGGACTGGCTGGCCATGGGGAGTTGGTGGAAATCTGGCCTGTTTGGAGAGAGAAGCAGAGGCGGGTGGACCTGCTGGGGGGCACTGGCTCCATGCAGCCAGGACAGGGTGGGGTTGGCAGGACACAGCTGTGACTCCTACATCTTTTCTTGCATTAAGGCTTAAGCATTCAGGGAGCACGTCCCAACACTCTCTGGTTTCTCTTCCACGGAGTTTCGAGGTAGAGATGGTCTGGGTTCAAAAGCAGCCCTGCCACTCAGGGTCACTCCCATGCACACCCCACCAGGGCCCACAGGCCCTCACTTTCAGGGACAGATGCCTCAGGCTTCCTACCCTCAGGGCGTGTCAATCAATTAGGGCGGGGGCGGTGGTCACTCAGCCATTACAGACACAGAAAACTCTAGGGCTGCCTGTCTAACACAGTAGCCACTGGCCACATGTGGCGCTTGAGCACTTGAAGTGTGGCTGGTACCAACCGAGATGTGCTCTAAGTGTAAAATACACACTGGCTTTCATGAAAAAAGAACATAAAACATCTCAGTAATTTTTATATTAACTACATGTTGAGAAGATAACATTCTATTGGATGAAATAAAACCTGCTATGAAAATAAATTCACTTGTTTCTTTTTACTTAATTTAATGTGGAACACTTAAATGACACAATGTGGCTTGCATTATGTTTCTACTGGACAGTGCTGGTTGAGAATATCTGTGAGGTTCTTGAAGGTGAGGACCACATCGGATGAAGATCTATCGATCTATCTCTGGGATCCAGAGTGTGCAGGAGGTTAGGAGTGTGAGCATTGGTTCAGTAAAAGACAGAATGGACAAGAACGGGGGTCTGTAGACTACAGCCCCATCTTTTTTTTTAAATAGAGTTTTCCTGGAACACAGCTATGTCTGTTCATGTACCTATTTACTTATGGCTCCTTTTGTGTTACAGATGGAGTTCAATAGATGTGACAGACGATAAGGCCTGCAAAGCCAAAAATATTTACTATCTGGCCAATTACAGAAAAAGTTTGCCAACCCCTGCCATAAATAAATATATACAGACATATGCACACGCATACACAGAAACAAGTCTGAAATTGGATATACACCACATAGTTATTTGCGATCATCTCTGTGTACTTTTGGTTTTCTTCCTAGAATTTATCTGTATTTTCTAGTTTTTTTTTTCTAATGAATCTGGTGGCCTAACAAGTAGGCTAAGTAGGTTCTTGGAGCCTGTCATACTTCAGTCAGATTAAAAAAAAAAAAAAGGTTTCATAATTGAAAAAAAAAGTAGGTGGAAAACTGCTGTTTATTACCTGTAATGTGCAGGGGAAGGATGTCCTGAACTTGGCCTCTTAGGGGGAGGGGGGCAGAGGTGGGCCACAGGCCAGTCACACTGTGCAGAGTCAAGGGGTGACTGCCAGGAGTGAGGGGGTATGCAGGGAAGGCTTCCTGGAGGAGGCTTTCGGGGCTTGGAGGGTGAAGAGCACTGGGGTTTGGTGGGAGAATGAGGAAGGGGACCCAGCCTGGGGGCATGAAAGGGGTTTCTCACCTTATTCCTGGTCCCTTCTTTCCAGAAACGCACCTCATAGCTCAGATCTGGCTGGGGCATGCAGTGGGGCAGCTGGTACGTGGCATTGACACTCAGGATCTCGTCTGTCCGGGTGAATGCCAGGACAGGTGGGGCTGGCTCCACTGGCAGAAACAGAACAGTACCCATCAGGACCTTCTGGGGGCCACAGGGCATCCATCCCCCAGCCTCCAGGCAGGCCTGTTCCTCACCCAGCCCAGAGACAGTTAACCTTCCTTTATTCGTGTCATCCCTTCCACTTGGGTGCCCTTCACATGTCACTGGTCTGTCAGCATCCTGTCCATTTGTATTAGTTTTTGCTGCTGCCATAACATATTACCATGAACTTAGTGGCTTAAATCAACACGGATTTATTATCTCTCAGTTCTGTAGGTCAGAGTCTGGGTGGGCTTGATGGGGTCCTCAACTCTGGGTGGAAATCAAGATGCCAGCTGGCCTGGGCTCTTATCTGGAATTTTGGGGGAGAATTCACTTCCATGCTCATTCATGCTGTCAGCAGAATTCAGTTCCTTGTGGTTGTGAGGCTGAGGTTTATTTCTATGCTGTTGTTAGCTGGGACCCTCTCTCAGCTCCTGAGGGCACCTGCACTTTTTTTTAAAATTTTTGGCCGCGCTGCACAGCATGTGGGATCTTAGTTCCCTGACCAGGGATTGAACCCGAAGCCCCTACAGTTGAAGCACAGAGTCTTTATTGGACTCTGCCAGGGAAGTCCTGGCACCTGCATTTCTAATCACGTTGCCCCTTCATCTTCAAAGCAGAAACACCATGTTGAATCCTTCTCACACCTCAACTCTCTCTGCTTTTCCCTTCTACACCTCTTCTGCCTCCAGCTGGAGAAAGTTCTCTGCTTTTGAGGGTTCATGGGATTAGACTGAGCCCATTTGGATAATCCAAGATAATCTCACTCCTTTAACACCCATAAACTTAATTAAAATCCCTATTGCCATGTAATAGTAACATCTAGCATATTCAGAAGTTCAGGGATTAGAGCATGAATATCTCTGGGGGAGTCATTCTGTCTATCATGGTCCTCCCTCTGACTCCTTGAAAATCAAGTCCCTCTCCAGTGCAACATACATTCTGCCCATCCCAAGGTACCCCAGGGTCTCATCCCATTACAGCATCAACTCAAGTTCTAAAATCTCATCATCTAAAGTATCTAAATCAGGTTCAGGTGAGACTTTGGGTACAATCCATTCAGTACAACTCCTGGGACACAATTCCTGTCCATTTGTGGACCAGTGAAAATAAAGTACAAGTTATCTGCTCCCGATATAAGGTGGTGGGATAGGCGCTGGATAATAGTTATAGACATTTTGGTTCAAACAAGGAGAAATAGGAGGTAAAAAGGAGTCACTGGGCTGAAACAGTTTTCAAATTCAGCTACACAAACTGTACTAGGTTTTAAGGCTTGGGAACTCTTCTCTTTGGCTTTCAGCACTGCTCTCTGGGCTCTTGGTTCCACCCTCTGAATCATCCTTCCTTTTCATGAAAGGTAGCAGGTATTTGCAGCTAAGTAGTTTTACCAGTCTGCTTCCTTCCAGTAGAAATTGGGAGACCAGTAGCCTTCTTTCTTTTCCTGTCCTCTCTGTCCCTTTCCGTTCAAGCTGGCAGTGTCTCTGCTGATATAAAATTCTCAAGAATTTTATGGGTCTCCTGTGGTTATCATGGGGACCCACTCCATTAGACAGAAGTCAGTTCCACAAATCTTTTTGAGATAAGCCCTTCTCTATTTTTGGCTTTAGCGGAGCTGGCTGAGGGATAACACTATAGCTTTCTAGAGGCCCTTTGATTTGACTGAGGGGAACTGAACTGTGTGTCATACTCTTAAATCTCTTCAAAGAGCCTTTTTCTTGACTAAACACTTCGATCTTTCTGAGGTTTTAGTAAATGATTGCAGAACTACACACTTTGCTGTTTCTCTATTTCACGCTCTTGGAAGCAATTTCTTAATTTCAGTATCCTTTGCCATCTGTATAGGTTAAGAATTTCCCAAATCCTCAAGTCCTGGTTCCTTTTTGTTTATGCTCTTTCCTCAATTTCTCTCTCTCCTCCTTGCATTTTGCTATGATTACCAAGAATAAACCAGGCCATGCCTTCAACACAACATTTATCAAATCTCCTTGATAAATGTCCAGATCCATCACTTACAAGTTCTGCTTTCCACATACCGACAGGACACAATTTTGCTAATCTTTTTGCCAGTATATAAGAGGCATCCCCCTTCCTGAAATTTTCAGTAACATATTCCTCACTTCCTTCTGTGAGGCAGTGCTTTTAGTATCCATACTTTTACTAACAGTCTGTTCGTGATGATTTAAGAATTCTTGAAGGAGATTTAGATTTTCTCTATGATGCTCCTCGCTTGCTTCTGAGCTCTCACTGGCAGAGTCTTTAATGTCCATTTCTTTATCGGGGAGGAGGGCAAAGGAGGCTTGGTGGCCTCCGGGGGTGGTGAGTCACATAGAGAACTTCCTCCTTTTTTTTTTGCGGTACGCGGGCCCCTCACTGTTGTGGCCTTTCCCGTTGCGGAGCACAGGCTCCGGACGCGCAGGCTCAGCGGCCATGGCTCACGGGCCCAGGCGCTCTGCGGCATGTGGGATCTTCCCGGACCGGGGCACGAACCCGTGTCCCCTGCATCAGCAGGCGGACTCTCAACCACTGCGCCACCAGGGAAGCCCTTTAATGTCCATTTCTAATGACAGTCTGTTCAAGGTCATCTAGGTTTGACTGATGGTTTGAAGATGGTGGGGGCAGTGAGTTGAAATAAAGTGACAAGAGAAAATTAATACACCATTGTTCAAGATCCAGCTGAAATGCCGCTTTTTCCATGCAGCCCTCCCTGAGTACCAGCCAGCAGGAGCTCTGGCCACACTGGTCATCCCTGTCCTGTGTTTGTGCTCAGGGAAAATGTGTGGCTTCCACAAGGTGCCACTACTTATGTGTTCAGGAAATATCCACGGGACACTGATATGTATTAAGCCCTGGGCAGGGAGCTGAGGGGAGTGGGGAGATGAGGCCTCCATAAATCTTGACCTCAAGGAGTTGGAGGAAATTAGGGGGAAATGAAATACATAAACTACCAAAAGTCAAGAGAGAAAGTGACCAGGGTCACCACAGCTGAGGGCAGAAATAGGAAGGAAGGGTCACTCAAGCTTGAGGTGTGCTGCAGGAGAATCAGAATATTATTCAGGGGGGAGGGGGCAAAAAAAAAAGTAGCCTCCTTTCTGCATCTTTCCCTCTATTGTTCTAATTCTTATTCCTATTCATCCAGCCTCTGCAGTTGTTCATCCATCATTCTTCTAGCCAGACAGCCTTTCTGCCTGCCTTCCCATCTTTCTTCCCCTTTCTATCCATCCATCCATTCTTCCCAACTATGCTTCTTTTCCTTCCCATCCACGCATCCTTCTCAACCATCCTTCCTTCTTCCTAAGCATCCTGTCTTCCTTTTTTGCCAATTGACATTTCTTCCTTCCTATCCACCCTGTCTTCCTGTTCACTTATACTTTCTTCCTTCCTTGTATGTAGCCAATCAGCCTACTTTTCTACTCCTCCATCCTTCCTATCCATCCATTCTTTTCTTTCCATACATCTTTCCTTCCTGTTTTTCCTTTCTCCTTTGCCTCTCCTTCCCTTTTACCCTTCCTTCCCTTCCCAGGCAGCCAGCCTTCCTTCTGTACTCTCTACCCACTGATCCATCTGTCTGCCTTTCGTTCCTATCCTCCACTTCTCCATCCATACTGGCTCCTTCATGGTAAGCATTTACCCATCCATCTAGCCTCCTCCTTCCCACTCATCCGTCACTTCTTCCCCATCCTCTCCACACTTCTTTTCTTCTTACCCATCCATCCTTTTCCTCCTTTCGTCCATCCAACCAGCCAGCTTCCTCTCATCCAAATCATCTCTTCTTCCTTCTCTGCCATTTTTTCCCTGCCATCCGTCATTAAATCCCTTCCTCATCCCCCTTCAAGCCCTATTTTGTCCTCAAACATTTTGAGAAGCCTGGGTGATAAGTTACAGATCTCAGCTGCATGAGGCTATTGTCTGAGTATTTATCCTCCCCTTCTTACTCCTGACCTGATCGAGCACCTTGTCCAGGATCAGAAAGAGCCATTTCACATCCCGTGTCCATCACTTACCAGCTGGCAAGTTCCTTAACTTCTGTGAGTCTTGCTTTATTTATTTTTTTAAAAATGGGGTGATGAAAATGAACCCCACATGTATGATATGAGGATTAGAAATAAAATACATTGGGGAAAAAAAGCAGTCTCCTCACTCAATATTAACACTGGTGATTTATGAAGGCTGTAAGCATGGGGAACGTTTTCCTCTCTATTTTCATCTCCTCTCCCCCCCAAATTTCTACCGTGTCCAGAAATTACTATTGCAACCAGAATTTTAAAAAATTGTTTCTTAAAGAGAGAGATTGAACTTTAAAAAAGTAGGAATAAATATATAAAGTGCCTTGTGTGGTTCATGACCAAGGTTGTGCTCAAAAGAAGATCATGAACCTCATTAGTAGGAGGTACAAACTGAACTGCTGGGGCTGGTGAACTCCCCTAACTCCCTGCCACGAAGTCAGGCTACTTGGACATGGGCCAGGGCCCATGGCAGGTGGCCCCAGAGAGCTGCCCACTGCTTTGGGGAAGTGGGAGACAGATGGCCAGGACAGCAGTGCCTCTGAGCCAAGCTCCTGAGCAGACGGCCTCCCACAGGTCCTTCACTTACCTTCAAAAAAGTAATCCATGGACTTGGACTCCACCCAGGGCGACCTGGCTCTGGGAGAGGCCGCTCGCACACGCCCCTTGAACTTATTGCACAGGTCTTGTTTCTCCAGGCACATCAGAGAACACTGCAGCTCTTTGGTTCCTGCACACTTTTTTACTCTCCGCCAATGTTTGGGGCTTGCAGAGCTGAGGGAGAAGACAGGAGGGTGTGGGTCATGGATTCAGCCTCCTGGGGGTGAGGAAACTTAGAGAACATGTGATCACTCGTCCCTCCATCCCACTTGATCATCCATCCATCCATCTGTCCAGCCAGCCAGACATTGGCTGAGACAGAATGAGAACAGTCCAGTCAAGAGCTCGGGCTCTGGAATGATAGACAAGGGTGGGAACCCTGGCTCTGCCCCTCACTAGCTCTGGGACCTTAATGCAGGTCAGTGTCCCTAAGCCTCGGTGTCCCCATCTGTCATGGCTCCCCCACAGGGTCGTCGTGCTAGTAACCATTTTCCACGCGTTTATTCATTCAGGCATTTATGGACCCCCTGCTGTGTACCAGGCCCGGTGCCAGGTGCTATGTGGATGTCAGAGGGGAACACACAGGTCCATGACTACAACCTCCTGAGAGCACTGAGGTCCAAAGGAGGGACCTGCTTGCTGGGCATTCTTCTTGGGGAATTGGCAATTCATGACAGATAGGTCCTGCCCTCGGGAACTTACACTCTGGAGGGAGGGGATGAGAGACCATCACATCAACAAGATAAATCCAGGAGCTGGTAAATGCAGTGATCATAGGGTAGTGCGGGGGTGACTGCTGTCTGAAGGCGGCTCAGGAAAGGCCAGGAAGACGGTGCTGAAGCTGAGGCCGGGATGCTGAGAAGGGAGCCAAGAGAAGGCCTGGGGGAAGGAAATGCAAAAGCAAAAGCCTTGCGATGGGAAGGGACTTGATCTGTCCAGAAAAAAACAAGGCCAGGGTGGCCAAAGCCCAGTGGACAAGGCCGGGAGAGGGTGGACAGACTGGACGTGAGGGTGGAGGGGCATAGGCAGAGCAGGCAGGGTCTTGCCATCTTGGCAAGGGGTTCGGATTTTATTCCAGGTTTCAGAGGAAGCTATCAGAAGGTTCTGAAGAGAGGAACTGAGGTCATCTAAATTATGCTTTTAAAATACCACTCTGATAAACTAGCTAGGAGGCTGCAGCAGTGGTCCAAGAGGGAATGGGGGGTGAGATGGCAAGAAAAGGTTGGATGTAGGATGCATCTTGGAGGTAAAGCTGATGAGACTTGTTCATGGATTGGATGTGGAATGTGAGGGAAAGGAGAATTGAGGACTGTTCCTGGGTTTGGAGACTGAGCACCAGGTGACCAGAAAAGGCTGAGATACAGGTAGGCAAAGAGAACAGATGTGGGGGAAGAATTCCCCTGTTTTGTTTTTTGGTGAAGTTATACTAGGTAAACATCAACGAAAAAAGGAACTGGTATAGGCATATTAATATGAGACAAAATAGAAACTTCCAAGTCCAAAGCATTAGTAAAGGTGAAAAGAACCACTACACAGTAGTGAATGATTCCACTTACCAGGAAGATATAAAAATTCTAACTTATATGTGTCTATTAAATAGCTTCAAACTATATTCAGCAAAAATAGATAAAACTACAGGAAGAAAAAGAAAATCCACAATTACAATGGGAAAATTTTAATATATCTCACTCAGTAATCAACAGTTGAATAAAGAAAAATTATTAGTACATATGCTAAAAAAATGAACAACACAATTATCAAAGTTCGTCTAATGAACATATACAGAACAAACAAGAAACTGGTTGAGCCACATACGAACCCTAAACAAAATATTACCAAAAATATTAACAAAACTAAAGCAACTCTCAAATTTCAAAGAATAGGTATCTCTCAAACGATTTCCTCTGACTGCAAATAATCCAGTTAAAAATCATTAACAAAAAGAGAACTAAAGGAAGTTTGAATATTTTTAAATGTTTTAAAATGACTCATGCATCAAATCAGAATATAGATGTTAAAGGTGATTCTGGGGTGATCACAGTTGGAAAGGAGGAATGTCTTTTTGGAAACTGGAAGAAAATTGATCCTTGTTATAAAGTGGCAAAGAACTTGACTAAATTACGTCCTAGTGTTTTATGGAAAATCAGAAGTGGAAAGTGATGGACTTGGATACTTAGCTGAGGAGATTTCTAAGCAAAGTGTTAAAGATGTGACCTGGTTTCTCCTTACTGCTTATAGTAAAATGAGAGAGGAGAGAGAGAGATAGAAGGAATTGTTAATCAAAAAGGAACCAGAAATTGAAGATTTGGAAAATTCTCAGCCTATGCATATTGCAAAAACTGAGAAAGCGTGTTCTGGAGAGAACACCAAGGTTGTGGCTGGAAAATCATTTGATAAGGAGATTGTGGGTGCGACTCACGGATTTAATCAGACACCTCAGTAGAAGCCAGGAATAGAGATGGGATTATTATGTGTATCACCCTAATTCTGTTCACTGAAAAGATCTCAAAGCAATAGTTCAGTAGTGATCAGACAGCTACACAGACTGTGTTCTTTAAAACCATTTCTTACCAAATGGAGACATGGCTGATTTCAGGTTTTAGGTCAGGAATTGTGCAAATGAGTCTGGAACACCCTTTCGCAACAGATAGCAATAAAGATATCATGACTTACTAGGGTCAAATTCAAAGGACTCAGGAGCCAACCTGAAGAGACATTCACGGACTAAAGATGAGACAATTCAAGCTTCAATGAGTAGAATAAATTGCAATGAATTGAAACCATCACATATGTTTAACTACTTGAGTCCGTAATGATAATAAAAAAACAAGTCAATCACCTTTGGGACATGATAGGGAACCAGTTCGTTATCTTGAAAACTGGTAAATCAAAGGAAAACAATTCAAGCATTTATTCTGTCTTGCCTACGTGAATAGTACCACTGAATATCAAACACTACATGAGAGGAAGCATCCCTTTGTAAAATTAATTCCAGCTAATAAATGAAAAAATACCATTAGAATATCATGGTTTTGGAATCCTTGCAGGTGTTTCAAAAGCGTAAAAGGAAAATAGCATAAAGGTCCAGAGGTTAGGCTTTCAATTCTTTCATCAATTTATCCCACCTCCGCTATGCCCAGTGGTGTGGCTTTGAGCAAAATACACTCTCAGTGCTTCAGTTACCTCCACTGTAGAGCAGAGTCACTGAATCCTTCCTCGTAGGGCGGTGTGAGATTAAATACATTTCATGTATGGACACAGTGCAGACACAGAGCAAACACACAGGCCGTGTTAGGTATTGGTATTTTCTGCCTCCTGATACAGTTCTATACCATTCTTTCTTTTTAAAGCTCTCTCACAGTCTGTCCTTTCCCAAGCCAGGCCCCCATCACTCACATCTGGATGCTACAGATGGAGGGACTGTAACAGAACAGGAAGAGCACAAGCTTTGGGGTCAGACAGACTTGGGTTTTTCTTCTGGTTCCATCACTGGCTTCCTTGGGCAGGTCACAGCACCTGAGTTTCCTCACCTCTAGCACAGGGGAAATGCAGGGTCTGCCTGGTGATACTGGGAGGAAGAAGGGAAATGCTCATGCAAGGCTCCTAGCACTCAGCCTGGCACAGGGTGGGTCCTGAGTACGTAGCAGTTCCTTCTCCTTCCTGCTTCCTCTTTCTCACCAATTCTAGATTAATCCTCCTGAGTATCTGCTTTCATTAGCTTACTCTCTTACTAAAGAACTTCAGATGATTTCCATCTATGTGCAAAGATGGCAAATCAGCTTTCATTTGCAAATTCCTCTGCATCAGCAGTGGCTGCCTGGGCTGCCAAGTTGAGAAGGACTCCAAGACTCCGTGCGGGCTCCGTGGGGAAAAGGGTAATCATCTAGCAATGCCTAACACAGCTCTGCAAGAGATACACCTGCCTCCCTTATCTGCTGGAATGCCAAGCACCTCATCCAGGCCCTCAAGAATTCCCTTTCTGGGCCCTCACAGCTCCATCCAAGCCCTGCTCTGACTTTTCTCAAAGACCTGCCCCCACCCCCGGCAGGTCTTTCACCTGGGCGCTGTTCTCCATTAAGCATCATCCCCACCTCCAGAGCTTTATCAAACGCCCTCTCCCAATACCTGCTGCAGGCTGTCACCCGTGGACACAGAGAACCAAGCCCCTCCAGCCCCTGCCCACCTCCTCGGTCTCCCCCTATCATCCCACCAGCCCGGAGGCGCCCCTCCACCTTTGATAGGCCACAAAATAGGTCATGTTCTGGGGGTTGCCAGGTCCTGGGAGCCACGTCAGGTACACACTGAAGTCCCAGGAGAGCAGCGTCACGTTCTGGGGAGGGGCCAGAAGGGGCCTCCCTGTGGCGGAGAAAGAGGCCATGAAGTCTGGAACCATTCCGAGCAGCGCGGGCGGTCAGTCGGGTGCTCACCGAGTTTAAGAACCAGGAGTTATCTGGGGTGGCTGAAGTATAGGGGATGTGATGTAGGCTGGGAACCTGGGGTGTGGGATTCCAGTCACAGCCATGCCACCGACTGGCTGTACTGCAGCCCCTTCCCCTCCTTAGACCTCAGCAGCCCATCTGTGACATGATGGGAAGCCCACCCTGGCACCTGAGGGTTCCGGCAAAACAGTGCAGCACAGGACCATCTAATAGATTCCTGGACTCCAGGAGGGAACGGCCCTGAGGGTCTCAAGGAGCAGAGGCTCTGTCTTGTTCTCAGCCATGTCCCCAGAGCCTGCCTGCAATGGTCCCTGGCACATAGTAGGTGCAAAATAAAAATATGTTGAGTGAATGAATGAATACTGTGATGACCTGGATTATTCCTAAGGTCTCCTAACTGGTCTCCCTGCTTCCAACCTTGTGCCCACAATCCATTCTCCATATAGCAGCAAGGGTTAAAATGAAAGTCACATCACGTCACACTTTTGCTTTAAACCTCCAGTGGCTTCTGTTTCATTCAAGGTAAAATCCAAAGTCTTTACAATCACCCACAAGACCCTACCCTATCCAACCCATGACTCCCCTTGCTGGCTCCTCTCCAGCCATTCTGGCCCTTTCCTGTTCCTAGAGCATGCCGGGCACACTCCCACCTCTAGGCCTTTTCACGAGCTGTTCCCTCCGCCTAGACTGTTCTCCCCACGGCTGTCCATCTGGCTCACTCCTCTGCTTCCTTCACATCTTTACTCAGATGTCATTGTCTCAGTGATTCTTCCCCTGACCACCTCTAACTGGCCCCTACCTCCCTCCTTGGCACCTCCTCCCTGCTAACCCTCATCTTCTGAAATATGCATCTGATTACACAGCTGCCCAGTTTCTGCCCTTCCCTTGTCCTCAGAATAAAGTCTATGCTCCTTATCAGGATACGTGAAGCCCTGCCCAGCTTGGCCTGGCTGGGCCATCATCTCATTGACCTCTTCCTGACAGCTCACCTACATACGTCACCAGGCTGCAGCCAGTCTTCCTTCTCGCCCTTCTCAAACCACCTCATTCTTCTGTGTGTCTTTGAACCCAGGTGTCTTTGACAGTGTGGTATTCACCATCTAATCTTTTAAAGACTTGATTCAAACGTCACTTCCTGACATCTTTCAGAAGTGGTGGTGATGCTGCGGATGATAATAATAGCAGCTAATGTGTATTGTGCCCTAACTATGTGCCAGGCACTATGCAAAGCACGTTACCTGCATTTTCTCCTTCAATCTGCCCCACATCCCTAGGAAGTAGGTACTAATTATGATCATCACATTACAGGTGAGGAAACTGAGGCCCCCTCAGCTAATAAGTTGTAGAAACAGAATTCAAATCCAGGCCTAGCCAACCCCCAAGTCTGAGTTTTTTGTTTTTTGTTTTTAACATCTTTATTGGAGTATAATTGCTTTACAATGGTGTGTTAGTTTCTGCTTTATAACAAAGTGAATCAGCTGTACATATACCTATATCCCCATATCTCCTCCCTCTTGAGTCTCCCTCCCACCCTCTAGGTGGTCACAGAGCACCGAGCTGATCTCCCTGTGCTATGCGGCTGCTTCCCACTAGCTATCTATTTTACATTTGGTAGTGTATATATGTCCACGCCACTCTCTCACTTTGTCCCAGCTTACCCTTCCCCGTCCCCGTGTCCTCAAGTCCATTCGCTACGTCTGCAAAGTCTGAGTTCTTGATCACACTTCCTCCCCTGGGTTCTCGTGGGGCCTGTTCAGCCTTATTCTTCCAACATCTATGGATCATTATTGGTCAAAGACATCTATTGATCACTATGTGCCAGAGGTTTCAGAGAGAACTACAGCTCCACTCCTGCCCCTTAGGAGCTCATGGTCCCATGGAGAAGGCAGTGCCTTGAAGTGTCACATGGGCCATGATGGAAATCCATACAGGTTATAGAACGGCCTCGGGGAGGGAGGGCCCTTTCTGCTGGTGGCGCTCAGCTCGGCTCCACACCCCTGGCCTTTCAGACCACCCCGTCCCGTGTTCTCTAGCTGGAACTGCATCACCAGGATGCCGATGCTGCCATTGCCCCAGCTTCTGGACTTCCTAGCAGGTGGCTGGCATGAGGCCAAAATCTGTCTACAATCGTCTTATCTGAGGACAGGCCTCAATTCTGAGCTTGGCCACAGTGGAGAAATAGCAGCTAGAGTAGTTACCTCCTAATGAGCCTTCGAAGGGTGCCGGGCATCGGTGTGAAACTTCATACACAAAACCTCATTCAATCCTCAGGACAAACCACCCTGCGGGGTAGGTGTCATTCCCTTCCACGGAAGGCACTAGGCTCGGATACAGATGGTGAGCAATTTGCCTGAGACTACACAGCCAGTATGTGTGCGAGCCAGGATTAGAACCTGGGTCCCGCTGCACTTCACGCTAAACCTTCAGACCACAGTTTGTGTTGTATACACTAAATATTCCTCGGGTGTAAGGATAGCTAGGTCTAGACAGCAAAACTATTGAGTTTGATGGTGAAAAAGGGGTACAGAGGACCCCCTCCTCTCCTCCCTGCATAGGTACACTGTCCCTCATCAGCTGTAGTAACACTGCTGCGAAGGCTCCAGGGGCTGGGGCATCCCTGAGCTGACCTGGGTGGGTGGACCGCCCCGTGCCAGCTGCCCATCCCACGGCCAAAGCTGGCCATGCTCACTTCAGCTTGTCTTCTCTGTTCTGTGTGTCTCACCAATGCCTTCCTTCTTGGGTAATTCCCCTTAATTGCTCTGAGCCTCAGTTTCCCCCTCTGAAACGGGAGGAAATAATACCCATCTTCTAGGACAGTTGGGTTGTGATGCTAAACTAGAATAATGTGGTGCCCAAGAAGTTGCTCAAACAAATGCTGGCTTTTAACCTTAGTATTAGATGAGGTCCAAGGGCCCTTCTAGCTCTTAAATTATTCGTCTAAGACTAGGGACATATCCTGGGGGCATTTTGGTGTCCTTCTCTCTGGATTGGTTGGGGTTTGGTGGTTGGTTCCTATCCCAAGGTATTTTGTACCCTGTCACCTTATTTACCAGTGAGAGCTCAGAAAAAAAGGTGGCTTGTTAGAATGACAGCACAGCACGGGCTAAGCTGGCACTCCTTCCCCTCAGGCCTGGGTGGAACTTCTGACACACCGAGTCGGGAGGAAGGGGAGGGAACCCCTGGCGAGGGCAGGGCACTTCTGTCTAATTTCCCCTACTAGTCAGGGTCTGTGATATTAATGCAGCGGATAGGGCTTTTAGGAAACCTTAAAAACGACTTTATAAACAAATGCAGCTGACTTTTGAACGGCCACTATCTTTTTTCCTGTTCGTCTGAGGCTGAACTGGCATTAGGAAGCTGGATCAGTTCCTTCCCGGAAAGGAATTTCAAAGACCCGGGTCTGTTTAGTCGTCGGAAAAAGAAAACTGGTGGTGGGTGGGCTCTGCTAATTCGCACGGGTTGCAGCACACAGACTGATGCCCAAGGCACTCCCTCCCCGGAGCTCTGGGTCGGAAGGTGGGTGCGGACCGGATGGAGCACCCCGCGGCCCCACGCCCACCCCGCGGCCCCGTGCCCTTACCTGAAGCGGACTGCAGCAGGCACAGGAGCAAAGAGGCCCACCGCGGGGCCCCGGTCATGCCGGTCTTCCAGTGGCCCTGTGTGGGACCAGGTCCCTCCTCCAGGCCCACCCAAGGCAGGTGACGCGACTGGCAGCCAATGGGAGGCCGGGCCGCGGGCCCGCCCCTCCGGGGCCAGGACTGGGAAGCTCCCGGGGTTTCCCTTGCGGCCGCCGGCCTCCAGCCTTCCGGTAGCTCCCAGGGCCTCTACTTCGTTCTGTTCTGCCCGATCCCGGGGGTGGGAGGTGAGGGGGTATCAGTAAATCCGTGTATGGAGGGAGGGGAGAAGAGGAAAACTGTTTATTATTAATAATCACAGTTAGGAGTTCCAATACGAGACTTAACAGGACAGATGAGTTCAGGGCCAGTTTAAGAAGGTAGTCTCAGGCACCATTGGCTGTACCCGAGAACGTTCTAAGTGCCAGGTTCTAAGCCAAGCACTTTCCCATATTATCTACTTTAACCCCCGCGAGAATCTGGTGGGTCTGTCGTGTTATTCTCTACATCCTTCACGCGGGGAGTGACAGCCTCCAGAGCTTCACGGGCTTGCTCCTGGGAAAGCTGGTCCCTCTGGTGCCAAAGCCTGTGGTGTGTTTGTTACCAGTCACCTGAACAGTAATCGCTTTCAAATAGTGGAACCAGCCTCCCCACAGAACAGTCTACAGCCATTAAAAACGATGTTGCCAAGGCATATGTAGTGACTCAGGGATATTTATAATACACTCAGCAGCAGAAAAGCAAGTACCGAAATATGGGCCCATTAAAGAAATGTGTGCCTATAGGTATGGATAGTTTTGGAAGGATATACATCAATATGTCAGTGGTTGTTATCTCTCAGTGATGAGGATATTTTTAAAAGGTTTTCTTCTTTTGGTTCATGTTTAATTTCTAAATTTAAGTAAGTAATCCTAAACTAAATTAGTCAAGTTAGTTTCTAATTAATATGTCTTGCTTTTCCAATAAGAAAAGTCACTTTATTCTAAAAATCACCATAGCTCTTCTTTATTAAATATGTTATTTTCTGTTCTTCCGCAACCCTCAAAGGAGGTATTGCTTCCTCTTTTCAGATGAGGAAACTGCCATTCTGAGACCCCAGAGAGCTCATGCAGGTGCTGGATTCTGGATTCAGACCCAGGCCCGTCTGACTCCATGGCCACACTGCCTCTGGGTAACTGCTCTGTTCATTCTCTGGGTCTCAGTGACGGGCCTGGTGACCGTTTGTCAGTTGTGACCCAGCCTGGGTATTAATATCTTTTTTAACAGATGAAACTCTGAGAGGTAACATTGCTTGCCCAAGGTCACACAGCTAGTTAGTGACAGGGCTGGGATTTGGACCTCAGTCTGGCTGTCCTCAAAGCCTGTGGGTATAAAACTTCTGCTACTCAGCCTTCTGATGGTTAAGGGCAGAGAAAAATAAAATGTCCCAGTCTTGATTACTTCCTGATTTGCAGAGATCACAGCATTAAACTCTCACCAGTGCTGCAGTGTCAGCTTCCTCTTTGGTGGAAGCAGTGGTGCTGGTACATGTTTAATGCCTGGGTCTTGTGGGGCAGGGGAAGGCCCTGCTTGGTAGCATTTGTCAGTTTCTGTGGTATAGATATCTCCACCAAGGTCAATTTCAGTTTGAGGCCCTAAACACAAAGTTGAGAAGAAATGCACACAGTGGGCCCTCCTGAGTCTGCAGGAGGCTGCTTCAGCACAACACAGAGTGGAAGAACCAGAACTGAGCTCTTCCATGTTTAGAACAAACCACATCCCAAGCCCTAAGTGGCACATGGGGCTCGTATTGAAGTCTCTGGTCCATAGCGTGAGACTCATAATCTCTTACGTGGCAGTCAAAGGTTTCTACAATGGGGCCTCCACCTACCTTTTGAACCTCCCTCCAGTTCTCTGTGCTGTACACAGAGAGTCCTCCTGGAGTCTCTCTCTCTCTCTGTCTCACTCTCGTTTTCTCTCTCCTCTCTCTCGCTCTCTCTCTCTCATCTTTCAAACACTCACTGTGCCCGGGATTCCCTTCCCAGGCTTATCTTTCCCCTAGTCTTCTAGACTTTTAGCCAACTCCTATTCTTGCTTCCTGTCTCAGCTCATGAGTCACTTTCTCAGGGAACCTTCCTTAACCCCTGACACTGATTTGTTCCCAATCCCTATATATGTCTCCTTTGGCAGTACTTAATCACTATTTCATAGAAATCACTTTTCTGCCTTTAATATCTCTCCTCCTGGATATATCCTCAAGGCCTGGCACATAGTAGGTATTCAATGATGAGTGAGTAAACAGACTTTTAATGTCTGGGGCTTAGTCAACACATTTCCAGATGCCCAAGACAACTCAGCCCCACTCCTGGCTCTTAGCTGGCACATGGTAATCACTCTGTAAATATTTACTAAGCTGAACTTGGCATATGACTGATAATTGAAAGATGTCAGTATCTCTTCTGAAAATATGACTTCACAGTCATACCTCCCTCCATAGATGGGATTTTACAATCACACCTCTTCCATTGACCCCGAGAAAAATGTGTAAAACCACATTACTGTATGATGAGTTACAGCTTCCCTCTTTCCTTGCTGGGCCAGCAAAGGGTCCAGGAATGTTGGATCAGTGGACATTGGAAAAGGTAGGTGAGGAGGAAAAAGCTAAAAGCCAACTGGGGCTTAGGTGTTTGGAGAAGAAAGAAGCAAGTTTAGTAGACAGCTACCATGACTATGAGATGAAGAGAGAGATGGAGAAAATGGATTTTAAAACGTTTCGTTCTGTGTTAGGACTGGAATATGTTTTGGCATTTTTTTTTTTTTCAAGAGACTAAAGATTTTAAATGGGTTGAAACTACTGTTGTTTTGACTGCTGTTTTCCTTGCTCTCATTTTAATGCGATGCTGTCGGGTGTTGGGGGGAGGCAAGCCTCAAAACGAGAACAGGGAAGCCCATTTTTATATGGTAGTATTACTGAAGACTTTATCAGTGGTAGGGACAAAAACCCCAAAATGGCTTAAGCCAGAAAGGAATTCTGCAGGCTCACCAGATTGGGAAATTCAAGAACAGATGTGGCTTTGGGATGGCTCTGGCAGAAAAAGATTCTGATTGGCTTGGCTTGGGTCACATGCCATTCCCTGAACCAATCAATGTGGTCAGGGAGGATAGAATAGTCTAACTGGCTAGTCTAGGTATTGTGCCCTGGGGTGCGAGGGATGAACCGAACACCCTGACTGACAGCCTCTCCAACCATGTGGAGTGGAAGATGGGCAACTCCCCAAAGAATGGATGCAGAGGAGACAAACAGCTCATAACCGCTACAGAGGGTTACATATGAGGAGACCTCAGAGATCATCCACACCAACTTCCTACCCTGGAAAGATAGGCATCCAGATGCTGCTTGGAATCCTCCAAGTGATGAAACCTCACTACCTTTTGGGGCTGTCAATTCTGTTTCTGAACAGTTCCGGTTGGGAAATTCTCCCTTAAATTGATCTAGCTCCTTGTAATTTTCATCAGTCATCTGACTCTTCCTTTTGAGGCCTCCCAAAATAAAACAAAGCCTTCCTTTCCATGTCAACATTTCAAATGTTAAGGTCTCTGGAACATTTTTATTGGATGGTGCAGGGGTGACAGCCAGTTTCCTTGGGGTAAAAGCACCAGCCTGGAAATCTGGAGGCCTGAGCTCCAGCCCCCATTCTACCTTTAATGCAGAATAGTGGCCACCCTGGGAGCAGGTGTATGCTGTTCCCATTTTACAGATGATTATACCCAAAATTCAAATTTGAAATCCTAACCCCCAAAGTGGTGGAATTTTGAGATGGTGCCTTTGGGAGGTAATAAGGTCATGAAGGTGGAGCCCTCATGAATGGGATTAGCACCCTAAGAAGAAGAGACACAAGAGAGATCATTTTTCTCTCGGCCATATGGTGATATGAAGAGAAGACTTCTGCCATCTGCAAACCATGAAAAGTGCTCTCAGCAGGAATAGAATTGGCTGACACTTGATCTTGGATTTCCCAGCCTCCAGAGCTGTGAGAAATAAATGTTGTTTAAGCCATGCAATCTATGGTATTTTGTTATAGCAGCCTGAAGTGACTAAGACAGATACTGAAGTAAAGGGAGGCTAAAGGACATGCCCAAGGTCACACAATTGGAAGTGGGGAAGCTGGAATTTGCCGCCAGGACCACATGATTCCAAAGCTTCCAGTCTTTATCACCCTATGGCCTTAAGCAAGTTACATCCTTTCTCTGGGCCTCAGTTTTCTCATCTGTAATTTGGGAACTTTCGTGTGCATTAGAATCACCTGGGGGGTTTGTTAAACCACAGATTTCTGGGGCTCATCCCTAGAGTCCCTGATTCAGTGTTTCTGAGGTGGGGCCTGAGGATTTGCATTTTAACAAGTTCCCAGGTGCTGCCAGTCTGGGTTCCACACTTTGAGAACCACCATAGTAATTGATTCCAGCTCTAACATACAAGTTGCAGGGTGGGAGAATTTTTACCTTTCCACTTAGCTTGGCTTAGTCCTTTATTAAATGGTGTGTGTGTGTGTGTGTGTGTGTGTGTGTGTGTATGAGAGAGAGAGAGAGAGAGAGCGCAGGCAGCAGGAACTTTGCTCCACAGTAAAGTTAATTGAAGGGAAATTCAAGAAGTAGGTAAATAAATAGGGATAATGTGGAGTAGATGCCCAGTCAGATTTGAAGGGAATCAAAAGGAACAGGCTCAGAATCCTATAGGTTTCCTAATTATAATAATTCCACTTATTGAGCACCTGCTATGTGCTACTGCTTTCATTATCTCAGCTAACTCTTACAGCCAGTCTATAAGGTAAGTATCAATATTGATGCTTTGCCAATGGGAAACTGAGGGTCAGAAAGGTTAAGAAAGTGAGCTAATGGGAATATAATAAGGTACAGCTGCTGTAGAACACATTCTGGTGGTTCCTCAAAAGGTCACATATACAGTTATGATATGACTCAGCAATTCCACTCTTAGGTACATACCCAAGAGAACTGAAAACATGTCCACTCAAAAACTGTACATGAAT